AAAAGTATTGAGGCTGTTTCCGTGATGTCTAGCTTTCAATCAAATTGGATGTGACTGCCAAAACAGATAACAGCCAACAGCTGACTTGCTTGTCCCTACATGACAATGAACATGACAGCATTGGGGGGAGGAAGGGGTTTGGAGGGAATCCAAAAAAAAAAAAAAAAAAATGGGAAGAAGTAATTAGTAAATGTTATTTGAGGGGAGTATGGCGAATTAGAAGCCCAGTGGATCATGTAATTAGGACTGGAGCCTTTTTCCTTGGCGGCTCAGGGAAGGAAGCAGAAACAACAGGACTTCAAACCTAATGCCATGTGAGCTGTGACATTAAAAAAACATAACTTTGTCCTTCCAAACACACACCAGCACTCATACTAACCTTATAACCATACAAGTCTAATATATGTCTATTTTTTAAGTTGTTTCTGAAGACCTTGGATTTGCTGCATTCCTTTTCAGCCCTTCCTGTGGCCTAAGTCTAACCCTAAATCTTACCTAAACTTAATTCAAAATAAAAACCTGGTCCATAAAAAATTCGGACAAGAAAAGGGTCCTCATCTTACATCCCTGTGCTCACTTTAATGGTAATATTTTTAAAAATATGCTCTCCTTCTTCGGCAAGTACACAAACATATGAAGCTTAAGTGTAAATTCAATCTGGAAGACTCTTGTAGGCTTCATATGAACCACCTGCGATGTCCCTCGTTCAGCTCCAGTCAATCAACTTGGGGATCACACATTCCCTGAAGCCAATCATCTTGCAAAATCCCCTTCATTTAGCTGTTGGCGCAGCTTCTGTCTCTCACACGCAAGCAACTTTCACCCTCCTCTACCCCATCTCCTCCCTCATTCTCAGTCCCACTCATCCTCTGGCTTATTCCACCACCAGTGTCCGGGTCCCAACGGAAGACTACTCTAATCTTTTTCTAGGTTACACATCCAAGCGTATGTAGATTCACAGCATCGACGACTTCTGCCGGGGGCCCGCGCACCAAAGAACTTATTTTCGTTTATGTCTTTATCTTATTCTGTCTAAAATTGATTGACTTTGGACTCCTGCAGGCCAGGAGATTAATATCTCTATACTGGAAAAAAATGGGAAAAAATGGATATACCATCAAATCACATGTGGGTGAAGGAGATGACATCGTGTATGGCTCTGGAGCGACTCACTTATATTGTCAGAGGAAAAGGAGC